GCACGGTCATCAGAAGTCCTTCGCCGTCGACGGTGTGCGCATCCACTACCGCCAGCGGAGCCCAGACGACCTCGAACGCGGCCGCGCCCAGGAGCACGAAGGCCACCGCGGCCAGCAGCAGCGGCAGCCACCACTCCGCCTGCGGAGGCAAAGTGGCGCAGGGGTCGCCGGTGCCCTCGGACCAGGCCTCACGCACAGGCAAGAGACACACAGAAACTGCGCATGCAATCAGCTGACTCGCATGACGAGCCGCAGCGCGGCGAGGCTAGTTTTGCAACTGCGCCAGTCCCTGTTGCCAAGATCCAGACAAGCAATGCTAGTCACGCATGGTCTACGCCATAATCCATGAAAGATCCGCATGCCCTTCTGTCGGTTTCCATCTTCAAATTAACTTGGGGGCCTATGCAAAAGAGCCATGTGATGTCTTTCGATGTCTCTCGTCACTGTCCAGCTCTGTTGAAGGGGGGTTAGTCTCAGATGTAAAGGCGCATCACACGCTGCCCTTCTACCCTCCTGCGAAAAAGAAGGTCGCTCCTTAGATGCTTGGGCTTAGAAAAGTTATGCAGTCGGCGAGAAGTTCTAGGCCAGAAGCAACGAGGTGGCCCGGCCTTGTACAAGGGGCACTTGGAGCTGTTTTCGTCGCGAGCTTGGAAGTGGGCTTGGCAGTAAATGCAGTAGCTTCCGGTCTCCGACACCTGGACGTCATCGCCGTAGCTCCGGTCCGGGACCTGCTCGGGGAAGAAGCAGCGGCAGCGTGCAGTAGTGCCCCTGTTCAGGACAGCCCTTTGCTCGCACATCAGCCTTGGAGGGTTCACCGCTTGAAGCCCAAAGCTTGCCCCGGGAGCAAAGGTCACGCCATGCGCGCAGGACACGCAGGACACCTCCACGGCCTCCGCCTCGTAGCTTGGGGCAGCCAGCAACTGGGTGTCGTGGACGTCCTGCAGATACTCCACGGTGATGTTCCGTAGCCGGGTGTGCGTGCTGGCCTCCGCAAGGGCGGCTTGGGGCGTCGTGAGGCGCACGTGGGCGATCTCCAGGGTTTCGTTGCCGCAGGGGTCCACGGACAGCAGCGCAGAGGAGACGCCCGAGCCCACCAGAGTGCCCTGCATGTGGAGCGTCGCGGGACCGCAGGTGCAGGCGGCATTCTGCAGGGCGATGCCCACCTGGGTGTAAGCATCCAACGACAGCGTCGACTGAGCAAGTTGCAGGCACCGCGCCTCTATGGCACTCTTGCCCCGTAGGCTTTGCAGCTGAAAGGCGGAGTTTGTGAGGCGCAAGGGGCCCTGCACGAAGGCGCCGCTGCCCAGCACGATGTCAGCCGATGGCTCCACTATGCCGTGAAAACCCACAACCAGCACTTCGGAGTCCCAGGCCTCAAGCTTCGTTGCGAAGACGCCGCCGCCACGTTGGAGAGCGCCGCCGGAGATGCTCAGGTGAGTCCGAAATAGCGAAACGTTTTTGGCAGAGAAGCCCCCGCCCTCGT